TTGGGAAACGATTTGGTTGGGGGAAAAGTTGTTGCTGAACCCAAAATGGTTAGTGAGCTAGTCACTCTTTCATCTAAGGATGATGCTGTCGTTGATGAGAATCCCGATGTGTTTCTCTAGTGTGCTGTGACTCGAGTTAGGAAATTAAGCCAAAAACAAATGATATACATAGATTCAGAGGACGATATTGTAAATTTGTCTCAGGCATTATTTGGATCTGATGGGTATCTTGTCGATGATTGTCCTACTGACCATACTTCGATGAGTGACAATTATGAACGTGAGGGATTTGCTTCACTTGGTGAAGTTCCAATTACTAAAATAAACTGATCACCGACCAAAAAAAAAGAATCTGCATATATATTCACTATTTAAATATTCACTCCCAAAAGATGAACTGGAGAAAGTTCCAAATGGTTATTGTTTAAAAATGGTGTGTTTATGAGGAAATGGAGACCACCAGATGTGTCAGCTTCAAAAGACTGGGCTATAGTTTACCAAATCGTTGTTCCCAAAGCATATCGTTCTGAAATATTGAAAGTTGCCCATGAACTCCCAATAAGAGGTCATTTAGGTGTCAACAAAATGTGTGACAAAATTATGAATTTGGCTAAAAAGGGCAAGACGTTTCATAACTGTCAGATGGTCGGAAAACCTAATCAGAAAATTCCTGTTGCTCCTTTGCAACCTATACCAGCTTTTAAAAAACCCATTAGTCTTGTGATTGTGGATTGGTTTGAGCCTTTGCCAAAAACTCGATCAGGGAATCAATATTTATTGACTATCAATTGCGCATCCACTCGATTCCCCGAGGCTATCCCTTTGAGAAACATTTCAGCTCAAAACATTTCTAAGGCTTTGATCAATTTCTTTATTTTTGTCGGCTTGTCCAAATAAATTCAGTCTGATCAAGCATAAAAAAATGTCGGAAATGTTTCAACAAGTTGTTTATCAGCTTGATGCTAAACAGATCAAATCTAGTGCATATCATCCAGATACGCAAGGTGCTCTTGAGAGATTCTATTCTACCTTGAAAAATATCATGCATTACGAGAAGGATTGGGGTGAAGGAGTTAATCTATTATTATTTGTTGTTCGTTCGTCAGTTCAGGAGCCATTAGGGTTTAGCCCATTTGAGTTGGTGTTTGTCCATTCAGTGGGTGGTCCTTTGAAGTTGCTGAAGGAACAATGGTTGGAAGACGACCCAAAAATATTCATTTATTGGATTACGTTTCCAAGTTTCGGTCCAGAGTCTTACTCTTTACTCGCTTGTGAATTGGCTCAGGAAAATTTGAAGTCATCCCAAGCTAAAATGAAAAATGTTTTTGATCGCAAGGCTGAAGAGCGTAAGTTATGTCCTGGTTACATGGTTTTAGTACTGTTACCCACTATGGGACATCCACTCAAAGCTATGTATCATGGTCCCTATGAGGTTGTTCCGAAAGTTAATGATATAGACTATGTTGTAAAAACACCTGATCGTCAACAGGCTACCCAGCTGTTTCATGTCAATATGTTGCAGCCCTATCACATCCCAGATTCATCCAGAAATATTTTCACCATTTAGTGTTCTTCTGATACTGATGACAGTTGCTTTGAAAGTTTGAAAATATCGGAAATTCGCAATTTTTTAGCGAATCAATAATCAATGTCTCAAGAATCTGTCAGATGTTGGAATTTATGTTGATGATAATGTGATTTTCAGTAACACTGGGGAGAACATTTATGTGTATTGCGTGATGTTTTTGAGAGGCTCAAGAAAGCCAATCTCACTGTAAATGTGGCAAAAAGTGACTTTTGTAAAGCCAAAGTTGTCTACTTCGGTCATATAGTAGTCCATGGCCAAGTTTCTCCAATTCAAGCCAAAGTTGATTGTATTGTGAATTATCCAACTACTACCGACAAAAAAGTTTGCTGAGATTTTTGGGAATGGCTGGTTATGACAGGAAGTTTTGTAAAAAATTTCTAACATCACTGTACCATTAACAAACCTTTTGAAGAAAAATCTAAAGTTCAAATGTTCTGAGACATGTCAATCTGGTTTTGAAAAGGTCAAATCTATATTGCTCACCTGACTTTGATAAGCCTTTCGCATTAGCTGTTGATGCCAGCGATTGTGGTACTGGTTCTATTCAATTACAATCAGATGATAAAGGTATTGAACACCCTATCTGCTATTTTTATAAAAAGTTTAATTGTCACCAAAAAAATTATTCTACTGTAGAAAAAGAAACATTGACTTTAGTGTTAGCTTTAGATCATTTCAATGTGTATGTATTTACATCTATTGTCATTTACACCGATCATAACCCGTTGACATTTTTAAATGGAATGAGGGGAAAAACAGAAGACTGTTAAACTGGAGTTTATCATTCCAATTGTATGATTTGAAGATAATCCATGACAAAGGCGGTGAAAACATTTGTGCTGATGGCCATTCACGTGCTATGTAATTTTATGATCATAAGATTATTTGTATTGATTGTGTTATATACTGTCATGGTTATTGAAATTGTATAATTCTTTGATAATGTATTATATTTAATGTATTGTTGTCCATGTATATAATATCTTAGTTAAAAATTGTCTAATGTCAATTTTTAATTCTCTAAGGAGAGACGTATGACGGATTTACTAACATAGGTTTATTTTAATATCGATGTTTGTTTAAGTTAAATTTATATCTAGAAATGCACATAACTTATACTGATAAATCTTTATTCCGAAATGTACATAACTTATACTGTTAAATCTTTATTCCGAAATGTACATAACTTATACTGTTAAATCTTTATTCCGAAATGTACATAACTTATACTGTTAAATGTGTATTGCGAAACTCCCGCCTATTCTCTAAAGTTGTAGAAGATTATCGAGTGTAAGAATCAGCAATATAAACACCGGTATGTAAACATCGGTTTAGCGTTTATATTGTTCCATAAGCTAAGGTTTCGAGAAACTCTCGTCACGTTTGTAAATATAATCAACTCGACGCGCCAAAAGACAGTATATATATATATATATATATATTGGTTTGCTATAAACCTCGGAAGCTATAACTGTGGTTGTTATAACGCTTATTAATCGGTAACTTCACATAGTTGACCAGGAACGTTTATAGAATTCGAATATTACAAGCCATTTAACTTCAGCAGACATTAATAGTTTTACGAAAACATTATATAACTTCATCAGTGGACAACTGGGCGTGTGCGGCCGGCAAAGAACGAATAACAGAGCTAGCTAGCTACCAGTTAAGTGAACTGTATCTACATCAACTCAAAATTAATTTTTTCATCGTGAGCCCTCGATAAGATTTCAATTTCCAGACCAGATAGAGGAATAAATATTGTTTGTAAGTTTGTAAAACTTTTGTACATAGATCATTATTTGTATTAACTGTTATTGTAAATTGTGTTATTGTTTGTATATTGAAATATATTTGTATTTAAAAAATCTCTGTTTATCAATTTTGTCGGTAATTATCATAAATTGCATACATATCGACATTTATCTAATTTATAAATCTAAATTATCATTAAACTCAGTTTCAGGCTATTCCAAATTATAATACATTACGTAATAAATTGAGACTTTTCCTGAATAAATTATAATACTAACATAATAAATTGGGGGCCAGTCCGGGATAAATTATAATGTATAACATTGTGCACTTTTTAAACTTTAGGATCCTAATCTTCTCTTTAAGTGGCCATTTGTCAGATACTCGTTGAATAAAAACTTAGACTTCAATATTGCCTTTATAGCAATAGCTAGTTAGAAAAGACTGTGGAAGTTGTTTATGGTATCAGTGCTTTGTGGGTGCGAGATTACCCGAACTATTGCTGTAGGTGTGTGTAAAATTATTAGGTTACATTTTGTTACCACAGTCACATTATTTGCTTATTGTAGAATTTATTTTAAATGTTTTTCTTTTTTAATTTGACTCTCTGCAAAGCTTGTAAATCGTGATCATTAAAGGACACTTTCTAAGACTATAGGGCAGGAGTATAGTAAGGATTAGGCGAGGGGAGAACTGGTTCTGTATTCTCTATTCATCATTGGGCCTAATGTGTTTATAGATAGTCAGTGGAAACTTCTGCTGTCATTTAGATATTGTGGTGCTCATGATTAAGGGATTGCAAGGGAGGAGTTGAGCCATACATTCAGTTGTTTCAAGCAAATTGTTGTTTGCAGTATACGTACTCAAGAACAGGTGATGCAACATCTGATGCTGGGTCTAGATGGTCTTGCACTCTTCATCCCCAAAGAACTTGGAAGGAGCAATTTAATGTGGAGAATTAAGTGTCCAAAGGTTTGAGTTCATAGCTTGAAGACAAGGACCCATAAAAGATTAGTTGTTAATAGTTAGAACTGGAGATATTTGCATGGAATAACATTCCCAAGTATAATTACTTATGTCTCCTAGTAATTGTGATGAAATAGCTACCAGTAAGATTATTGAAATCATGAGGCACCACATGAATCTCAAGGACACCTCATCTGAGTCAGTGTCTGTAGAGACGTGTTTCAAAGTGGTCACATCAAATCATATACACGAACAGAGGAAGGAGTCAACAGCAGTATCAACAGCATATGTGAAGTTTGCTTTGAAATAACATCAAATGTCTACGATGACTCTAAAAGCTGAATTGAAATGTCACCCATAAGCTCTACTGCATTAAATTCCACAAGGTGATATAGTGCAGCTGACATTGTTCTAGATAAGACAACAGGACTTCCAAAGCCCGGTGTTTGGCCAGTACCACAGTAGATACAAAAGTTTTCATGTGATATTACAACAACTGCTCCATGTAATATGAATAATAAGATCCATAGTTAGATCTGTTTGCTATCTCAGGCAGGTGCAGTGATCAATTTGTATCCAATGTCTTCACAGTTGGTTTGGAGAACCAGGGACCTTGTATCACATGCTATGAGCTGATAACCACACAAAGATGTAATGATGGATTTGTAATGGATACTGGGGCTGCCCTGACATTATTTGAACTTGCCATGTATAATAAACACGAGTGAGGTTACTAGTTTAACCAGTCAGCACACTTTGCTGTCGGAAATAGAGACAATTATATATGATCAGGAAGGCATATATCCAGCTTTGTCTTGATCATATCACTTACCGAACAAATAAAGTTATCGCTAATATTTCTTCAGGTATTGGTATCATAGGTTTGTTTGTTAGTTTTTTGAATTTCGCGCAAAGCTACACGAGGGCTATCTGCGCTAGCCGTCACTAATTTAGCAGTGTAAGACTAGAGAGAAGGCAGCTAGTCATCACCACCCACCACCAACTCTTGGGCTACTCTTTTACCAACGAATAGTGGGATTGTCCGTCACATTATAACGCCCCCACGGCTGAAAGGGCGAGCATGTTTGGTGGGACGGGGATTCGAACCCGCGACCCTCAGATTGCGAGTCGAGCGCCCTAACCACCTGGCCATGCCTGGCCTAGGCATCATAGAAATAGACCTATTGCATAATTGTCGATCTTATTTGCCTATGTAGCAATTAGACTGCAGTTTTGTGGGGAAAACACCCAATTCAATCCAGAGAGAGCTTGAGAAGAGTGGACTGTGTATGTGCATGTAGAGAAGGAAGTAATAAAGCAGTGAGTGTGCAAGTGGTGTGCCACAGATGAAACATAATGTATTGTCATTGTGTATAGTGACTTATAACAAATTCAAAACATTCACTGCACTTGCTTTTAAAGTGCTGGGGCTTTATTAAGGCTAGTGTGAAACAACAAATATTAAATATTTGTCTATTTAGTTTCCAGATAGAATGATCATAACCACAGTAATGGAAGCAACAATAAATCAAACGAGCTGAGTAACTAAAGTTACAGATAATACATAACATTCAAGAATGAAAGTGCCTCTTCCCAAACTTCTTGATAATTTTGCTAACAACATAAACTCAACACATATGCATAAACTGAGTGAATTGCTCAGTAAGTTTGTGCTGTGTTAGTGGGACCAGATAGTAGACTGAGTCTGCACAATTACGTGTCATTGCATAGATATTAATGACGTATCTCTGATAATACAACCATTTTGCCGGCTATCTGACATCAAGAAACTTTTAACCCTATATAGACTGGTAAACATCCTTTAGATGTCAAGTGCACATCTGCAGATCAAATTTCAAACTTTAATTACAAATGATAGTTCTAACTCTATTTCAACAATGTTTTATTAACATATATTTTGGAATTAATTTTTTGTTATTTTTTACTGAGTGTCTCGCTTGCTATCCTGTTCCAAGTATTTTATGACCTCCAGCATAGGATTTGAACAACTACTGGTGAAGTTTAGTTTTAAAATTAGCTACAGCCAAAGTGTAAATGTCAATGGATATCTCAGCTTATCACCTATGTACGTCCTTGTAGAGAGATTAAAGTTGTTTGAGATGTAATTTATGGTTTTATGGGAATTGGTAAGACCTAGCTCCTGCAAAGAAAAACAACAGAATATAGTTGGATGTTTAGAAGTCTTAGAACAAAACATAGTCTCGGAAATGTATTATAGTTTTTATTGACATTCTTTTTTGTTCCTGAAAGTGGCATTGTGTTAAAATTTATCTCTTAAAAAGCTACAGAAATTTACTGGTATGATAAGACATTGGATAAACCTAATAAGACTTAGAATGTGTTGTTAAGTTTATCATATTTAAATATTGTACATAAATCAAATAACGTGTAAGAAAGTATATCTCTTAAATATAATTTGATTTCGACCAAGGAATTATATGTGTATAAATATATTGTTGCTTACACTATAGGACATCTAACGGCTACGTCTGAAGTTATTTTGTGTTATTTTTGAGTTTATTAAAAATATTTTCAACAAGCAAGAAAAAAAGATCAAGAACACAGTAAAAGCTATTCCATTTTTTATTTTGTTCTCCTAAATTCTCCGATATGAATGCATAATTATAGTCTGAAT